CCCCCCCCCGCCCTCTTCCCTTTTAAACTCTCGCGAACAACTTACGGTGAAATTTTATTCCCTCGATAATTTCATTTGGTCAGATAAGAAATAAAAGAAGGAGAGAAAGAAAAGAAAAAAAAAGGGAAAATAAAATCAAATGAATGAAAGATTTTTAAGAGAGGGATGATAGGGAAGAGAAGATAGGGCGAAGAGAGAGAGAGAGAGAGAGTTGAGGGAAAGAAAAATATTGTTATGTTGTATATTTTTTTTTTCCTTGTCGTTTATGAGTATTATTTTTTATGGCCAATTTTTAACAATGTTCTTCTCTAATTGTTAATATTTTTCCACCACGATTTGTGAGTATTTTATGGTGAATTTTAACGATTAGTATAGTACACACAGGTTATAGGAATGTTTGAAAGAGGATTGGAATGTGGTGAAAGGGAGAAGGGATAGGTGGACTTTCTCGAGTAAGTTTGCTTCGTAAACTTGAGAAACATTCTTAATACTATCTCGAATATAGTCTCTATACAATGAAAATAGACATAACTGTGTGCTAAGGGAAGAAATAGAAATAGAAATAGAAATAAAAAAAAGAAGAGAAAGAGATAGAAAATGAAATAGGTATAACAAATCAGTATTTCATAGAATTCACATAAATTATTGGTAATCATTTACGACAAATCAAATACTTAAAAAGTTGAATATATATATATATATGTATGAATTATATATATATATATATATGTATATAATGATTAACAATAACTAATTATAAGGGTTCCAAGATAGAAAGCAAAAGAAAAAGATAAAAAAAATATATAAAAGAAACATTTTCAGGTATACAAATCGAAAACCTATTTCATACAATAAACATAACTTTTTCCGATGATGATACTTTTCGGAAGATCAAGAAGTAGAATATTATCCTGGATTACAAATCGGGTTGGTGAACCCGAACTCGATAGGAAGTGAAAGGATAAAGGGTGAAATAAACGGGGTTATGGGTGGTGGTAGAGGACAGGGGGAGAGGTAGGTGGGTGGTTGGTGGTTCGACTTAAGGATGAAGTGAACGAAACTGAGAGAATCGGTGAGTGGGAGAGGAGAGGAGGGGGGAAGTTGGTAGACAAAGGAAAAGAAAAAGAAATAAAAAGGTTAAGGAATGGGAATGGTGGGGGTGAAAGAGGGGGGAGAGGGGGGGGGGAGGAAGGAGACGATGAAGAAAGGTGAACACAACGAAAAACGAAAGGTGAAAAGTGAAAAGCATTTTGAGAAAAGGAAATTTCGTGTGCTCGTTGAAGTACGAGGATAAAGAAAAAGAAGTTAAAGGATGAAAAGAAGAAGAAGAAGAAGAAAAGGATAGGGATGAGGATGAGGATGAAGATGAAGGAGAAAGGGGAGAGGGAGAGGTACCTATAGAAGGACCTGCACGGCCAGTGGGAATGGAATGCAGGTACAAGTCCAGTCTCCGGGTTTGCTCTTGCCTCCTCACCTCCTGACCAACCTCTTACCCCCTCCCCTCCTCACACCCCTCATCGCCCCTGCCCTGCCCGCTTCTCCTCTTCCTCGTCCTCCTCCTCATCATCCTCATCCTTCTCTTGGATCTTTTCTTTTACTTCTTCCTCGTCACTTCCTTCACCGCTCCTCACTACTCTTCTTCTTCTTCTTCTTCTTCTTCTTTACCTTTTACTTCTACTTCTTCTTCTTCTTCTTCTTCTTCTTCTTTTTCTTCGTTTCCTTTCCTTTACATCTTCGATGCCGATGATCCTCAACCACACTTTTTTCTTTTCAATCACTCTTTCCTTCTCTCTCTTTCTCTCTCTCACTCTCTCTCTCCTCATTTGTTCTTTTTTGTTTGTCCTTTTTGCTGGTACTGTTAACTGTTACCAACGACACGGTGGACAAAATCAAGCAACATGTTCGATTCGACAGGATGCTAGACTATTAACAACATTTACCTACTATTAAAAATATTTATCTATCTCTATCTCTTTTTGTCTTTTTCTTTTTCTTTCTCTCTACCTATTTTTCTTTCCGTTTTGTTACTCTTACTGTTACCCATTACAATCCCTATTACTAAATTCATTACCTCTGTTATCGCAGCCCGCACGCGTAGATATTCCATAAACGGTTGTTGTTGTTTCTTCCTTCCTTCCTTCCTTCCTTCCTTCCTTCCTTTTATCGAACACATTAGACACTTTTACACACGTCTATAAATTCCTTCATATTCACTTTATTTTATCCTCCATGGTTTTTTCGTAAGAATGTGCCGTACGTGTCTCTTATTGATTATAGATTATAAATCTTATTTCTTTCTCTCTCTCTCTCTCTCTCTCTCTCTCTCTTCTTTATCGATAGATCTGCTTCTGTAAATGAACAAAAACAAATGATATTATTATATTGTTAACAATATTCATAATAATCGAGATTATTTTTTTATCAGATCTAAATAATCATTATGTCATTATTAATATTGCATTATTTTCATCCAAATTTTAATAAATAAATATATAAAAAAAAATGATTTATTAACATAATAAATTAATTTGTTTCGATAATAGAGATGACGCAAAAATAGAAAAATATATATTACACTGTTCTTATAATAAATATAAATTATTAGACTGAACCAAAACAAAATTCTTACGTTTATTGCATAAAAACTTTACTTTGAAACGTGCACCATAATGAATATTGTTTTTATTAAATTTACTTTATAAATATTAATTGAAAAATTCACAAAACTTTTGCTTCAACATAATATTCTTATATTAACGATGTAGTGATAACAAAAGTAAAAGTTTTCAATAACAAAAAATAACAAAGTTAACAAAGTTAACAAAGTTGCAAGAGTTAGAACGAAAGAGTCAGAAAGAGAGAGAGAGAGAGAGAGAGAGTAAGAGAGAGAGAGAGAGAGAGACGGAAGAAGGTATGGAGTTGAAAAGAAGGGTGGGGGGTAAAAGTAGCAGGTCGAGGTTCGATCACCCGGAGGTGGGACCCAGTGGAAAGGGCCTGCGAGTGGAATGCGGCCTACGTGCGGCCCTGCCGTGGGAGACAGCCGAAGCGAAGCAACGAACGGCCTACTAGCATCAACGGTGGAGCCGTTTGTGTTGCGAGTTCCTTGGGAGAGCACCCAGCCACCGGCTCGTTAGTTTATTCTCTTTCTCTTTCTCTTTCTCTCTATATATACAATACTTCTCTACACTGTACACACGAACGAAGGAAGGAACGAAGGAAGGAACGAATGCAGTCACGGTCGACTCGAATCGGAACTCTGATAACGAGCCTCTTTTTTTCCCCCTTCCGAACGGTAGAACATTTAAATGCAACTGAATCGGTATTGGATACTTTAATAAGATTCATACGAATTGTTGTTATTATGTTGATACAAGTATCAAATATTTTCTACTTTTTTTTTTTTGAATGAATTTTTAATTTTTGTTTGGTTTTTTGTTTGTGTGTGAAACGCGTCTACGATGGAATATTTAAATGCATTGCATCTTTTTTTATATGCTCTTTAATAAGATTCACGTGAATTATTGTTGTTATCATGTTGATACAAGTATCAAATATTTTGTATTTTTTCTTTTTCTTTTTCTTTTTCTTGTCTTAAACATTTTTACGATGAAATTTCAAACGGTGGAATATATTTAAATGTATAGTGTATTTGCGTAGTGGTTAAGTAAAATTCATGCAAATTGTTATTACATGGGAGTGTGCAGGTATATAATATTTTGTATTTTTTTTTATTTATCGATGAGATCATTTGATTCGTTGTCTCATTTTTTAATATTTTTAGTTTGAATTGTTTATCATTCTATAATAAATTGTTTGAAATATTTACAAAAGAATTCCGAATAGTGGAACATTAAATCCACTTCATTTGTATATTTAATCAAGATCCACATAGATTTCTACATATATATATATATATACATAAGCATGTAAAATATTTATAATAAATTAATTAAATTTATTATTTCTCAATAAAATTCTTCAAACCAATCGTTGTGTGATATACGCAGCAAACAATTTTAACTCTATCTATATTGATTCATTTACTTTATCAATCTTTGTGCAAAAAAAAAAAAGAAAAGAAAAAATCAAAAAGAAAGGAAGAAAAAATAAAAGAATGTTCGATTCCTTCACGCGTTATTCGATCGTATTTCAAGGCTGAATTATCAACTGATATGGCGTCATTAAAATATGATAATTCATTGATAATTCGTATAAATAATATACGTATATTCTGTTCGGTTGCGCGCGCTATATCAATGTCAATTCTTTTTTTCGAATTCACGTCGAACGATTCAAGCTGCTCCATAATCGATCAGGATCATTTCATACTTGTGTGTGTGTGTGTGTGTGTGTTGTGTGTTTCCATCGATTTTATTTTTCTTTTTCTACCATCTTTTTTTGCTTCTCTTTTTCCTTCTTTTTTTTTTTTTTTATTCGAACAATCTTATCAAATCGTCACGTTTCTACATTGTGTGTTCGAAGGACACCAGACTAGTATAACTGTCGTTATCTCATTCGACGATCGTTTCAATAATAAAAAAAACTCGACGAAAAAAAAAAGAAACCAAAAAAAGAAAAGAGACAAATAAAAATATTACAATAAATTACAATGTTTTATCTGCTTTTTTTTTTTGTCTTCTTCTTCCTCTTTTCCTTATACATTTTTTTCAATAATCCACAACGAAAAGAAATAAATATAAATAAATAAATAAATTGTAGTTCTTATTAAATATTAAAATAATCCCAAGAAATATTATATAGCAATTTATAATAATTCGCTAGGTATAACATGATTTTGATGAACGATCAACCGGATATGATCTTCTAAAAATACTCGTATAACATCTCGGATACCTGGTGTCCGTATCTAATCCTTTAAAAAGGTTTCTACATTCTAACGGATATGAACATATAAGACTAGTTACAGAAAATATATATAAATATACATACACGCACATAACATGATTTTAATACACGTGGAAATAAGAGAACAGCTGCGAAGATATGCTTTGATCTACACATACAAACAAACCAGGTTGAAATACACGTCAAATATCATGTATATAAGTTTCTCTTACACATACATACCAATATTGTACATATACATATATAATTCTTAACCATGCATACGTATAGTGTACACATGTATGCATATACATCAGATTAAATACAAAATTTCTTTCGTATTGTTCCGTTTCGTATTTCATTCTCGATGTATTTGATCAGCTGATGATCACTGACCAGTAATATATGTGATTACTAATACATTTATATACTTCCTAAAAGACCAAAATTGGAGAATGTTAAAAGATTTACATAGTATGTCCGAAATATTAATGTATAAAAATATATCGAAATATTCGGAGATTCACCAAGTTATTTGGTACGTGCTGACATTCACCATGTGAATCTTGACATTCTCCAATATCGGTCTTTCACGGTAACATATATATTAAAAAAAAAAAAAAAATTTATATATATAAATATGTGTGTGTGTATGTATAGAAAGATAGGAGCCGGTAAAGCGTAACGTTCATGTACGTGTATGGACGAGCATAGTCTCTCAGCGTGGGACCAAAGCGACTCAAAAAGTCGCACGACTCGTGTTCAGCGACTCTCAGATGGTATATTCTACACATCGTCTATGTAATACTCGAAGAAACGAGAGAGAGAGAGAGAGAGAGAGATTGAAAGAATGGAAAATAAAGATATTAATCGAATTATCAAGATAAATATTAAATAATATCAGTAGATTGTGTAATAATTTGAAAAATAAGATATAAATTGACGAACGAATTATTCTATATTATTAATGAGAAGGTATCACAGGGAACTTGGACTTAATAAAAAAAGAAGTAGAACTTAATTTAACTAAGTTGAACGTTTCGTCCCTTTATTGGGACTTCTTCAGCAACTTAATCTTTATAGTTAAGCGTCTTTTTTCATTGAGTAGACATACATTTTTATATAATATATAAAAATAAAATATAAAATAATAAATAATATATAAAAATAAAAATAAAAATGTATGTCAAGTCAATGAAAAAAGACGCTGAACTATAAAGATTAAGTTGCTGAAGGAGTCCCAATAAAGAGACGAAACGTTTAACTTAGTTAAATTAAGTTCTATTTCTTTTTTTTTTTTTAAGTCCAAGTTCCCTGTGATACCTTCTCATTAAGAATTTTATTTTTGGACGAGAGAAACAACTGATTAAATTCTATATTATATTCTATATAATAATTCTATATAACGGATCAAGAGATAACGAAGTTTAGATGTATAGTGTTTTGAATATTACAAAAATGTATGTCTGCTTAAATAAAAAATAGACGCTGAACTTTAGAGATTAAGTTGCTGAAGAAGTGAAGAATAAAGGGATGAAACGTCCAATTAATCAAAATGAAGTTCTAGTTCTTTTGAATGTCCAAATTCCCTACGATACCTATTTATTCTATATAATAATTGATAAAATAATTTCATGTGAGTTTAGGAGCGCGTTAAAAGTGATATCGCAAAAAGAAGTATATAAGACGTTTTCAATATAATTGGAGAAAGAAATAAAAATAAAATTATGAAAATAATTAATAAAATAATATAAGAACTTGTGTGTGTGTATATATATATCGGTAATTGTTTTAATTTGATTTATCAATTATTTTATATACAATATAATCTAAAATAACTCGTAGAGAAAATAAAAAATAATATATGAATAATAAAATTATATATATATATATAATTTTATATATAATGACAATAAATATAATAATAATAATAATTTTAATAATATAATAATATAAATAAAAAAGAAAAAAAGAGAAAAGAACAAATAAGCATCCCCTTCCCTTTCCACCCCCCACCCCAAAATTAAATATCACCGATATCCGAATTCGGAAGACTCGAAAAACTACCACCAATCGTTGTGGACCAATTAGAGAAGTTCGTGGTACAGTCGCAGAAAAGAGAAGTGAAGTACAAAAAGTAAGGAAGATGAAGAAGAGAAGAGAAAAAGAGAAGAGTGGAAAGGAAAGGAAAGAAGAGGAGAGGAGAAAAGAGGTCCTGCTGCCTTCGAGGAATCCGTTTCTCGGCAAGAGACGTTCCCTTTCTCGGCCCTTTGTCGTTTCGATATCGAAAGGGTCGGCGCGATTCAAGGACAAAGGGCGAAGCTTGCACCGGTCGCGATTCACGAAGCAAAAACGGCAGCTGCTGTATTTCGTTTCCCTCTACAGCTACCCTCCTCCTCCTCCTCTTAACTTACCACCACCCCCTCCCCTCTTCCCTATTCTTCCTTCCCCTTTCTCTACACGTCTCTCTTTTTACCTTTCTTGTTGGAAAAGAAGAAAGAAGGAGAAGAAAAGCAAGATGGAGGAAGGAAGTACTACTACGCAGGATAAGAACGGATATTCTTCTTCGAAGTTTACCTCCTCCCTTCAGCCCCAACTCCCCCCCCCCACTTACTTCCCCTTATCCCTCTTGCCACTCACTCACTCTTCCTTCCTTCCTCTATCAAGTTCCTACCAAAAACTTCCCTTTTTATTTTTATTTTTATTTTTTCTTCTTTTTGTGTGCAAGGACTTTTTTCATCATTCCCTATATACATACATACACCCGTTGATCTTGTATTTGAAAGAAGAACACGAGTCCCGAAAAAAAAAATCGAGAAAGAGAGGGACAGATGAAACGGGGAGAAGGAAGGGAGAAAGAAGAACGGTGAGAAGGAAGAAGAGTAAAAGGGAGAAGGGAATTGGCCCTTGAAGACGGGCACGTGTCTTACTCGAGACATCTGCCACTGAAAAGGACCCGCTGTGTTGTTATATCGTTCCACCGTTATATCGTTTACCTTACCACCGAACCGTATCCGTTTATTTCTTTCTCTTACCTTCCTTTATTCTTTCCTTCTTCTTATTCTTCTTTCTGCTTTTTTTTTTTTTTCGTTTATACTTCATTTTTGGGTATTTTATTCTTTAATTTGTATTTTCTTCATATACTGTTTCTCTTTTTCTTCTTCTTCTTTTTCTTTCTGCTTTTTTTATTTCGTTTATACTTCATTTTTGGGTATTTTATTCTTATCACTAATTTGTATTTTCTTCATATTCTGTTTCTCTTCTTCTTCTTCTTCTTTCTGCTTTTTTTTTTCGTTTATACTTCATTTTTGGGTATTTTATTCTTATCACTAATTTGTATTTTTTTCATATACTGTTTCTCTTCTTCTTCTTCTTCTTTTATTTTTTTTATGTATGTGTGTATTTCTTCTTTCCATAAATTCTTTTTCTTCTTCTTCTTCTTATCTTCTTCTGAATTTTTTTCTACGTTATTGGATACTTCTTCTTATGACTAATTTGCATTTTCTTTACATTCTCTGCTTTCCTGTTTTCTTATTTTCTCATAAACATTTCTTCTTTCCACAAATTTAAATATTCTTCTCGCGTATCTTTTTATTTCTTTCTTCTGCATGTATGTAGTACTCTTTTTTTAACTACGAATTTTCATTGTTTTCACGTCGTTTTTCTCTCTTTTTCCCTTTTCTTCTATTATTCACGTACTGTTTGTTTCTATGCATTTGGATTATATTCACATTTTCTTCTCTTTTTCTTGTTTTCTTCCTTGCGTACACTTTTAGCTACGAATAATTCATTTACATTACACGTTTTTCTTTTTCATTACTTCTTCTTCTTATTTTTCTTATTTTTCTTCATGCACTTCTCCTTTCTATGAACTTTAAATTTTCTTCGCATTTCTTTTTCTCCTTTTATTTCTTTTCTACTTCTCTATCCATCATGCAACAATTCTTTTCTTTATGAATTTAGATTGATATTCTACTTCTTCTTATTCTTATTATTTCCATGAGTTAGGGTTTCCTTATACACATTTTGTTCTTTTTTCTACAAATCTTCTTTTCACCTTCCATAAGACGACGAAAGAAGAGCAGCTGCCCTTTTAACATCTCTCATTCTATCTAACCGAAAATAAGTACATGCACCTGCCTGCCCTTTCCTTAAGGGCTGGGAGAGAGAAGAAGGGAGGGGAAGGGGGGATGGGGATTAAGGGAAGGAGGACAACTGTTAAAACTCGAATTTCGAGAATGGGATCGTCATCGTATAACAGCAATAAAATATTTTCTAGATAATTCAAGTTGAAGAAAAACTTTCAACATCTCAAACTAGTTCTCTTGATTTTCTTTCTTTCTTTCTTTCTTGTTTTTATTGTCCTTTTTTTAACGTACGATATATAAATTTTCGTTCGCGTAATATAAAACACGCGTTCGAGAAGAAATATTTTTCTTTGAATTTAAATCACCGTTAAAAAGAAAGAAAAAGAAAACATGGCGTCCGTTCGCCATATTTGATTCTCACGAAGAAACCATACAATTAGAATTTGTACCTTACCCGAACAAGATTTCTTTTCGCGTTTTAATTTCCTTCCGTTTGCCGTTTGTTTGTTTGTTTTTTTTTTCTTTTCTTTTCCGTTTTCTTTTCATTTTTTTACATTTTTCTTTCTAATTTGTATTAATTACGTGAATTAGATCGCAAAACTGTCTTTCTATGTAAAATAGACCAACCAACTAACCAACCAGTCAACCAACCAACTCTAACATCCGCTGACTTATGCAATACGAACGTTTTATTACACCGCACGTTACATTTTATCGCCACTTACACGATCACATTTTTTTCTCTCTCTTTCTCTCTCTCTCTCTCTCTCTCTTGGTAATACTCTTATTATTTTTTCTTTTTTTTTTTCTATATTTTATATTTTTTTCCCTTACATAAATATTCATACGATAAACCGTGAGAAATCTATGGATGTTGTATACGCGAACGGAATTTCTATACCTCGTTTACATATTTCTTTTTCTCGATCTGTCGATTTATTATACTTTATCGAAGTATGACTACGTGAGTGGAGAGATATGCCGACAAATCTGCAGATAAATCGAGTCTAAACGAATATCCGTTCTTACTATCTGTGTTGAAATTTATGATAATAAGAAGTTGATTGAATTGATTCTATGAATGAATGAATGAATGAATGAACGAACGAACGAACGAATGAATGAATTAATAAGAATATTAATAAAATTCTGTTGTTTTTTCTTCTTATAATTATTATGCACAATTATTTCGTTTTAATATAAATATAATGAATATTAAACGTATAATAAATTTATTAATAATTTTATATATGTCAACTATATATTACACGAGAAAACATGTATATGTGTTATTAATAAATTAATAATTAATTATAATTTAAACATGTGTAAACAAAAAATTTTCAATTAAAATCTCATTGTTATTATTAATCTTCGAATAATTTTGATGACTCGTATAAGGTAAAAAATAAAAAATTCTAACGAAAAATTGGTCAATCTTTTATAAATATTAAAATGAAGTATACAAGAAAGAGAAAGATAGTTATAGTAATGATTTGGTAGTGTTCAAGAATGAAGTTAGTGTTGCGATCGTAGGTGACAGAAGGTTGTGCCATTTCTATTCCAGTCGCGGACGACGACCCGCAGACGGCTCCCAGACTACGTGCTAATAACTCGAGAAAAGATTTCACATCAGAGAAGGAGAGGGAAAGAGGAAGAAGAAGAGGAAGAAGAAAAAGAAGAAGAAGAAATGAGGAGGAGAGGATTGTGCGTTCGAGAGCACGTGTCCAAATCGTTTCGCACGCAGAAACACAAAAAGTAGGTCAACTAAGTACAACCCCTTCCTTTCCGTTCCTACATCTACTAACACACTATTTTACCAATGAGAAACTGTGTCTGTGTGTGTACTTTTTGGCATGTCGATCAATTCCCAATTTTATCGTTTTTGCGAGATCTTGCGTGTAGTAGTAAAATTAACACATTTGATATATAAATTATGAAATCTTTTTTTTTTATCCACAAGATTATATTTTGTTTACTTAATAAACAGATAATTGATAAATATATAATTGATGTGCAGAGTGTAAAGTAAATACCGAATTTGAGAACAATTTATAAATGTTGTCTCGAAATTCTTACAAAACACAAATACTTGTAAAATAAATTATTATATCATATCAAAAATAATTATTTCATTATATATTAATTCTTATTATTAGTATACGAAAGTGGGGGGTTGAAAAGTTTTGAGTCTATAGAAGAAAACAAACAAAAAACATTAAATTTCGTTTACAAATGCGAATGAATTTAAACGAAAATCAAAAAAACAAATTATATTTCCACGTTAGATCAAAAACATTTCAAACGATCCGCAAAGATTAAACAAAAATATGATCGAAATTTAGATAAACTCACCGATAATAACTTCACAAAGTCCCAATCTCCCCAATTAACAACAACAACACCTCCAGCAAAAACCATGATTGTACTCGTACTCGGTATTCTGTAAATACACAAAAAAAAAGAAAATATGAAAAATAATAAATAAAATTAATAAAAAGACACATCTTAAAAAAAAAAAAAAAAACAAAATGAACAATCGAAAATCGAAGGAAAGGAAAGAAATATTAGACGAATGTAACAGAGAGGAAGAAGAACACAGTTCCGAGTAGTTTGATGGTGCTGAATAGTAGATAAAAGAGAAAGAGAATCCAAGTTGAAGTAGAAGTAGAAGTAGAAGTAGGAGATCGAGAGGAGGATGAGATGGAGGTGGTGGTGAAGGTGGGGGAGGAGGAGGAGGAGGATGGGGATGGGGGGGGGGAAGTCGGTTAGAGGAAAGGGAGAGATTTAAAGAGGGCTGCGCTGTCGTCATTGGGATTCTAACCGAGCTCGTCCGCTTTTAAATGGACGACCCCTCGTTTCGTCGGCAACGAAACGGCTTTAACACTATGCGCTTCGTCGCCTACATTTACGCGCTTCTCTCTCTCTCACATACACAGTCACATATATTCATATATATATTTATAGTTGGTGTGCAACACGAAGTTGAATTGCAGGACGGACGTGTGGACGGGCTCAATACCTTTTAGGTACGAAAGGAAGCGAACTTCCTTCCTACCTCCGATGTCACGCGCGAGCACGAGCCATTCTCTCTGTGTGTGTGTGTGTGTGTGACAGAGAGAGAAAGAGATAGAAATAGATAGATGGATAGAAAGAAACCTAACGAGAGAGTGAGATAGAACATATTCGCTACCGTTTATATAATCCATCCTGTTACGTCAAGTTGTTTAATCCATTCATTACCCTATCTCTCTCTCTCTCTCTCTCTGTCTCTGTTTCTATCTCTTTCTGTCTCTTTTTCTCTCGTTGTACCACTGTGACACAAAAATAGAACAATTAACGGATGCAGCAGCACCGACAATGCACAAGTAATGCTTTAACATTGTCTTCATTTTTGAAAAATGTCTTTTCCCTTATTTTAATCTTCTTTTATTGTTCTTGTTGTTGATTAATTACACGTGTCGTCTGATAATGTATCTAACTAATGGTATTAATGTCCAAATTTGAATATATGTATATTTTTTTGTTAATAACTGTACGTTGATTTTTATTGAATTCGATTGATCAATTAATTTTATTTTAAATTGATGATTTTCACTCTATTTGTGGTAAACATAATTGATATTATATTTCATTCGTGGATAATTGATTTTTGTGTTTTATTTAATCGACTCTTATGTTGGAATTAATGAATTTTATTAATATTTATATGATGCGAAACATGATTTCTTTTCTAATGTCAATCATATAGAAATATCGTTAATGAATTTTTCGTCTTTTTTTTTTTTTTATTTCTTCCATTCTCTTTGTATAGAATAAAATACAATCACTTTTTATAAAAAAAAAAAAGAAAGAGAAAAGTACAAACGTACAAAACGATAACAAATGGGACGATACTGAAATATTTATAAAAAATGTATTCTAAAATTCGTTCTTTAAAAACTAATCATGCGAAAAGGAAGAAAGTACAAAAAAAAAAAAAGAACAAAAAGGAGGACAACAAGAAGTCAGGCGTATTTTTCGAAATCATTTCTTTTCCAATGCGGACAAGAAGATATCGTGGAAAACCGAGGAGACAGACGTGGCAACATTTCTTTTTTCTTTTCTTTTTTTTCTTCCTTTTTTCTCTCCCATTCGACTTTACTAGGAGCACAAGTTTTACGTGTATCAGAGGATCGAACTTCTAGATCTATGCGGATGTTCGTTCAACGACGACGACGACGACGACGACGAATACGACGACGACGTGTGCGGTATGGTAGTACGGAAGAGTGGGCGGACACATATCCACGAGCAAACGATTCACAGATAATATGTACGTCAGTGATCTTCATTCGGGATTTTCCACCACGTTTTATCAATGACTCTTCACGTTCCCGTATAATCTTATCGCTTGTTTTGGAATAAAAAAAAAGAAAAAAAGAAAGATGAAATTAAACAAAATTTTCTAATGAAATAATCTCTCGAGTATTTTAAACGGAAGGAAGTTAATTCGTTAATTCGCAAACGCACGAATATACGCGAATAAAAAAAAATAACAAATTATTTCTATAAGACAATCATTCTCTCGCAATTTAATCCGATCACTTTTTGTTAATCGTAGTATCAAACACAAATCTCGATATAATCTATAAATTACGTATTTATACATTTTTTATTCGCATATCATTTGTACGCCAATTGTTTTTTTTTGTCACTAATTCGATTGGTCCCTTTTTTTAACACAGTTATTTCTTAAAAATATTGTTTCTTTTATCAGGTTATAGAAAAGAAAAAAAGAAACGGAAAATATAAAAAGGTAAAGAAGAAGAAGAAAAAAAAAGGAACCGATTGAGAAACACTGTACCATGCGTGACGGTAAAACAATTGTCTAGTGATAACGTACTAAGAATATTGTACTCGGATGGTCAATACTTTTTCAACTAGTCAAAGGCGGTATGACGTAAGGGCGAACACGACGGTCGATAAGAATTCCGACGCCTCCATTCAGTCGAGTATGAGAGAAAGAGGAAACCCGAACTCACAAGGGAAAGAGGGGGCGAGAGGGGGTGGGTGGAAGGGAACAGGGAGGGGAGGAGAGTCAGCGGGGAATCGGATACCGATACGAGAAGTCACGATTACGAAATCGTATTGCGAACGTAAGAGAACCATGGAATCTCATTCCAAAGAGAAAGAGAACAAGAAAGATAGAAAGAGAGAGTAGATTTGATCGATATCAATCCTTTTCTTTTTCGAACAACCAAATTGAAATTTTTTTCCTATTATTAATATATGTTGGTTTTTCGATTTAAAAAGAAAATCGATGCATTTATTATTTCAACTCTTTGAAATTGATTTTGTTAAATAATTTTGTTAGGCGTCCTACCTACATTTTTCTAGATAAAATTGTGATTATTGAATTTCTACGATGAGTACTAAAGTATATTATTTTTTATTTATCTTCTTTCCATGCATTTCTTATGAACGTATTCTAGAAGAGACTTACGAAACAAACAAAACAAAAAAAAAAAAAAAAAAAAAAAAAAAGGAAAAAAAATAAATAGTTTTCTTTTCTAGTTGAAACTTTCAAACATTTTCAAACCAATTCTCGTATACATTATACATTACAAATAAATGAGATATGAAATAATATAAGAAAAATTCGAGAAGTACGCGTATTAATAATAAATTCAAAATAATTATTATAAATATTTGACTGTGAATTCTCAACAACACAATAATGTCTAACGACGAATGGAAAGATCAAAGAGGATTTTTCTCGAGGCTAGTAATTTGTATCGATTGATCGCTATTCAGTAAGATGATGTCATTGGATTTGAACGTTCGGTTACCGTTCGTTTCAAACGAGAAAGGAAAATATATCTATGATAGAAATCACAAATAAAAATAGATAATTTAGGATCTATCGTAATATAAATCGATGATGAAAAATATCATTAAAAAAGGTTTGCCTTTGATTATCCTTAACAAGCTCACTTTTTATCTTATTGGAATATACACCATAGTAATACCAACATATAAACTTAGGTTGGATATACTTTCCCGATGATTTGCGACTTGATATGATAATAGAAGAGAAAGAAAGAGAGAGACAGAGGATATCTACACGAACGTACAATTTACTTACACGTGTACACACGTTTGTTATCGCGAATATTTTACGCAACAAGTCGCTCATATGTACGCATGGTCTCAGGTGGCGCCATGACGCAATTCCTTTATCGGTTATTCGGTTATGCTCGGCTCCACATGATAATCGCGACAACGAGACAAAGATAAAGACAACGACGATGATTATATGCTTATGTTAAAAATAATATAACGTGTTTGCCGATATCCTTTCGCGGTAGATTGAATTTTCTATAATATTCTTGATTTAAAATCAACTCATATTTATTATAATGTGAACCACCATGTCATACGAATGTATGTATATTCGATGTTTTAATATAATTTCTTTTTTTAAATTTATATATTTTTC